CCCACGTCCACAACCTTACCACATGGAACACGCCCCACGTCCACAACCTTACCACATGGAACACGCCCCACGTCCACAACCTTACCACATGGAACACGCCCCACGTCCACAACCTTACCACATGGAACACGCCCCACGTCCACAACCTTACCACATGGAACACGCCCCACGTCCACAACCTTACCACATGGAACACGCCCCACGTCCACAACCTTACCACATGGAACACGCCCCACGTCCACAACCTTACCACATGGAACACGCCCCACGTCCCCCTCCACAACCTTACATGGAACACGCCCCACGTCCACAACCTTACCACATGGAACACGCCCCACGTCCACAACCTTAACCATGGAACACGCCCCACGTCCACACCACATGGAACACGCCCAACGTCCACAACCTTACCACATGGAACACGCCCCACGTCCACAACCCTTACCAACATGGAACACGCCCCACGTCGTCCACAACCTTACAACATGGAACACGCCCCACGTCTACAACCTTACCACATGGAACACGCCCAACGTCCACAACCTTACCACATGGAACACGCCCCACGTCCACAACGTCTTACCACATGGAACACATGGAACACGCCCAACCCCACGTCCACAACCTTACTACATGGAACACGCCCCACGTCCACAACCTTACCACATGGAACACGCCCCACGTCCACAACCTTACTACATGGAACACGCCCCACGTCCACAACCTTACCACATGGAACACGCCCCACGTCTACAACCTTACCACATGGAACACGCCCCACGTCCACAACCTTACCACATGGAACACGCCCCACGTCCACAACCTTACCACATGGAACACGCCCCACGTCCACAACCTTACCACATGGAACACGCCCCACGTCGTCCACAACCTTACATGGAACACGCCCCACGTCCACAACCTTACCACATGGAACACGCCCCACGTCCACAACCTAACCACATGGAACACGCCCCACGTCCACAACCTTACCACATGGAACACGCCCCACGTCCACAACCTTACCACATGGAACACGCCCCACGTCCACATGGAACACCTCTACAACCTTACCACATGGAACACGCCCCACGTCCACAATCTAACCACATGGAACACGCCCCACGTCCACAACCTTACCACATGGAACACGCCCCACGTCCACAACCTTAGAGTTGAGTCTGGTTTATATAGGACGACGTGACACTGCACTAAATGCGTGTATGCTTGGGGCAAAGGATGTGTAGTAGAGCCTAACCGATTTCAAAACTTCATCTTATAAAGATGTACTCCACCTACAGATTGCAATGCATGCTCAACAGACGAGAAATATGACACATATAAACACACATGGAACAATCGTTAAGAATATGCACCATTCCTAACATGAGCACGAATGCCCGCGAAAATATAAAATATTTGGAGAGCTCGAACAAATGTTCACATATATTGTCACACACACGCATAACGGGCAGCTGAAGAATCTTAACGCTGGTCGCCTTGAATGATGATGTTGAAAGTTGATAGTTTTGTGGATTGCTGGATATAAGCTTCTGTCTCACGATGAATATGGGGTCGGTTCGGCTGTTGTTTGACAACATCCAGTTTGTGAAATGATCATATTCTACAGAAAAAAACGATTCCTAAATCATAATAATAAAGTTTATTGAAAAGGATCACAGAGAATGTCTTCATTTGTTGGTAGAAATTGTGGTAAACTAGACTTGCCACATATTCTAGACTTGCCACATATTCTAGACTTGCCACATATTCTAGACTTGCCACATTTTCTAGACTTGCCACATATTCCAGACTTGGGCTTCCTCTTATACATTTGTTCCAGGGTCTGCATGACAGACTATAGGCTGCAGGCTGCCGGCAAGATGGCTGCCGGCGTTCACGCTGCTTGTGTGTCTCACCATCTCTGAACTACCGTTTGCTTTCCTACGAGTTAGGGTAGCGGAATCGTAAGTCACATCAAACTCACGCAACCTGTATTCTCCACCATTGGCGTTCGTTTTTGGAGCCCTCGGTGGCAGACAAAGGAAGAGTGAGTGAGTTTAGCAATATTCCAGCAATATCACGGCTGGGACACCAGAAATGGGCTTCACACATTGTACCAAGACAACGGAAGACAAACGTCAGGGAGTTGATGACGCCGACAACATGTACAATGTTTATTGAAAATGAAAAATATGGTCTGAATGGTACAAATATTGGTGATCACGTGACAGAACGCACACCAGGGCGCAGTGGCCATTGTTCCCAGGGCGGAGACCCACTCTGCTACTTACACACATGCAGAAGTAGGACAGCGATTATTCATCGTCGTCGTCGTAGTCGTTGCTGAGGCGGCGGCCTTGGCCACGACTATCCTCAAAGTCCACTTCCGTCGATGATGTTGGCCCGTCTCCCTGATTGATCATGTCAGTCAGAGTTTATGGATAAAGACACTACGCCACGTGGTACAAGGTCACTGACCTATCTATGCACGTGTACATTGGCGAGATCATTGGTAGCGTTGGAAATTAATGGGTACTGTCCGACGGGGGTTTATATTAAGAGGAGATACAATGAATGTTTGCAGGATGCGTTATACTGACTGACTGACTGACTGAGTTTTGGTTTTACGCCGCTTTTAGCAATATTCCAGCAACATCACGGCGGGGGACACCAGAAGAGGGCTTCACACATTGTACCCATGTGGGGATTCGAACCGGGGTCTTCGGCGTGACGAGCCAACGCTTTAACCACTAGGCTACCCCACCGCCCCGGATGCGTTATACAGGCGCAGGAGATAACATGTCGGTTCACTTTGGACACAATTATGTCTTAGTAATATATGAACTTTTGAAGAAAACTGTGGAAATGGTTTGCACAATAACACACATCATAACGAACAAATTAACGAATCGGGTGAAAAATCAAACCGGTTAAATGTCTAAACTGTCTAACAGTCAATACACGACCATAACGATGATGAAGTGGTTGGAGCACTGATTTCTTACAATCTGAAATAGGTTCTGTTTGTTTGTTTGTTTAAAACAGCTCTCCGCAATATTCCAACTATATGGCGGCGGTCTGTAACTAATCGAGCCTGGACCAGACAATCCAGTGATCAACATCATGAACATCGATCTACGCAATTGGGAAACGATGACTTAGTGTCAACCAAGTCAGCGAGCCTGACCACCCGATCCCGTTTGTCGCCTCTGACGACAAGACGAATTCTAACCCGGAGGTACTAAATTAGGTTATGTGTATTGAATATATTGTGCCCCCTACATGTGCTGAGATGAAAATGAAATGAAACGATAAGCGAGAGATATGTGCAGATATTCTTAGAGTTATAACTATGTGTGATAAAAGAGCAATTGCTGCTGGATAACTGACACGTGAGACTTAATTACCAGAGGTCAATATAAGTGTGCTTATGTAGTCTGTCGTCAGGCTCTCAGGCATTCATCACTTGTATGCTTAAAGTGTTAATAAACACCTATTTATGTTTATTATGTTTTTTTATTTATTTGAAAAATAAGCAAAACAATGAATGGCTCACATGACGTTAGGTAAGAACTCAACTAATGCTGTGTACTCAGTTGATATACAAGTACTTACAGTAACACAAACTACTTGTGTAGCTACACATGAACTAGAGCAACTGGCGATAACTAATGACAACTAACCGTAAGTAATGGCAACTAACGGTAACTAATGGCAACTAACGGTAACTAATGGCAACTAACGGGTGAGCTGGCTCTACCGCCACAGTCCCCAGGTTTGTCCTAGCATGTCAGTTTAGCGGAGGAAATTGGCCTGCAGCAATGTAGGTGTGATTGGTTAACTACTTTGGTGAAACCCACAAGACCATGGGTATAGGGCTGACGGATCTAGAAGTATATCAAGGTAAAACATGATTCTACGGTAAAATATGGTGAACCGCAATGACTGACATAAAGTATGCACTTATTTTAGACTACATCAAGCTGACTCATCTGGCCAGACAAATGTGTAAATAACAATACACAGCCTCAATACCTACAACATTAATTGTCGTAGGACAAATGTGCCCTTAAAACAAGGCCATATATATTGACATAGGGGCGGTAAAAAATTGTGGTGGGAGTTTGGTAAAAAGGAAATATTTAAAAACAAGGCCATGTATATTGACATACTACAGAAAGAAAAGTGTACAAACACTACGTTGGCCACAATAACGTTAGATACAATAGGCACTATGGCGCGTGTATAAGGTATCATCTATGATAACACGTATAACAGCATGGGATATAGTGTGAACAATATCACGAGACACAGCATGAATAAGGGTCATAGAATAAGCCGGTATGTTAATACTAGATGTAAAATGGCACGATATACACTAATAATACAGTGTTTAACACCAGATAGAACGTGTACATCACTGAATATTGCCGACGTGAGGTCCATATCGAACACGGTTCCATTATAAGTTGTTATGTTTCCAATAATATGTGTATGGCACGATAATGTCTCGCTGGCAATTGAAGACGCCAATGGAAGGTGTGGCGGGTAAGGGGGAGGGAGGGAGGAGGTGGCATTCGGAAAGTTCTTGGTTGCGGCACCCTTTGTGAGACAGACCCGTGTTCAGAACGGCAGGATATGGTATATAATTTATTCTTTTTGAAACGCCGATGAGATGAGTATTGACTGGACTTTGAGTGATCTGTGGACCAACATACAAACAACAGATTATGCCTAAAGCCAGTCATTGCGTGGTCTGATATATGTCGCGCTCATCGACCAGCAGCAGCAGTTCAATATAAGGGACACTGGTCATGACGGCGGATGGAGGGAGACGATTCGACGTTCGGCGCGAGACGAGTTGTAAATCCCGCCTCGAGGAAGCTCGCGTGCGGGAGGTTTAATTTGTAGCAGTTTATCAGCTCCAGCAACAAGTTTGCATACGATTAGCGTCCGAGGGAGGGGTATATAAGAGCTGCGCCGCCGGGTGGCTCTCTCTACGGCGACAGACAGGAAGTGGTGATGGAGCCTGGCACGAGGACTATGCACGTGCTGTGGGTCGTCTGCTGTCTCCTGGTCCTCCTCGCCATGCACGTTATGGCGTACCCCACAGGTAGGACGTGCTTTCACTTTTACTTTTATTCAAAATTCACCCAAGAACACAAGAATTCACTGATGAACAAAGAACCTGTTTAAGGTTAAACGTATGTCTACGGTAACAAAATACAACTATCAGAGAAACATCTACCTGTCGCCGACAGGTCAACAATCAGTTATTATATATCCAAGTTATGCATAAATGCATGTCTCCAAGACCTTGTATATTAATAGCGTTTGTTATTGAAACACTATATTTCATGAATAAATAATAGGAACATATTCACGCACATATAAGAAATGGAACTAAACAGTTGGCTAAAAAGCACTGAAGAACTCCACTGACAAGTTAAAAACATACGATACAATAAATATATTAAAACCTGTTTTTGTAAAATGTTTAACTATTCCGAATTATACTATATTCACTGTATAATGCAGTGTCTCCGATGTTAATATTGTAGTTCAGTGATGCAGTGTCTCTGATGTTAATATTGTAGTTCAGTGATGCAGTGCCTCTGATGTTAATATTGCAGTTCAGTGATGCAGTGTCTCTGATGTTAATATTGTAGTTCAGTGATGCAGTGTCTCTGATGTTAATATTGTAGTTCAGTGATGCAGTGTCTCTGATGTTAATATTGTAGTTCAGTGATGCAGTGTCTCTGATGTTAATATTGTAGTTCAGTGATGCAGTGTCTCTGATGTTAATATTGTAGTTCAGTGATGCAGTGTCTCTGATGTTAATATTGCAGTGTGATGTTAATATTGTGATGCAGATGTCTCTGATGTTAATATTGTAGTTCAGTGATGCAGTGTCTCTGATGTTAATATTGTAGTTCAGTGATGCAGTGTCTCTGATGTTAATATTGTAGTTCAGTGATGCAGTGTCTCCTCTGTTAATATTGTAGTTCAGTGATGCAGTGTCTCCTGTTAATATTGTAGTTAGTGATAGTGTGTCTGATGTAGTTCAGTGATGCAGTGTCTCTGATGTTAATATTGTAGTTCAGTGATGCAGTGTCTCTGATGTTAATATTGTGTTCAGTGATGTCTGAAGTGATGTAGTTCAGTGATGATGTTAATATTGTAGTTCAGTGATGCAGTGTCTCTGATGTTAATATTGTAGTTCAGTGATGCAGTGTCTCTGATGTTAATATTGCTGTTAAGTGATGCTGTCTCTGATGTTAATATTGTAGTTCAGTAATGCAGTGTCTCTGATGTTAATATTGTAGTTCAGTGATGCAGTGTCTCTGATGTTAATATTGTAGTTCAGTGATGCAGTGTCTCTGATGTTAATATTGTAGTTCAGTGATGCAGTGTCTCGAATGTTAATATTGCTGTTCAGTGATATAATATATATGTATTGTGACATTTTCCGAACGCATTCAAGCCAGAGGAGAATAAAACCACACAACTCACTCCAAGATAGCGACATAATCGCACGTTATAGAAAAGTCAACTTTTCTTCAAGTATAAATCAGCGCCACCCATTTGATTGCAGAGGACGACTCAGCCTCCAGTTTCTACAATAGCTTGATCATATTGCACAGCAATCAGCTTCACTCTTATAAACCTCGGGCATTGACCGCTTGTGAACATTAAGCTAACATCTGTGCGAACACTGTGATAATGGCATGTTGACACAAAGGCAGCTTTTGTCCATGATTGTTTAACAAAGGTAAATGTTTGTATGTCCTATTCGCCTACTAATACAGGTGATTCGTGTCTATTAATACTGATTTGTTTACCTGATTGGCGGAATATTAGTATTTATGAGAGATGTTAGTGATCCATAGTCCTACACTTAGGTACGTGTTTCAAGTCCTGTTCCCTGCTAATACTTTCACATTATAGCTACTGCCCATAGAGTGTGTTATCTGTGTGGATACGACCCTGTAATACCAACCATGATCCAGAAATTGTCAAAGGGCGATATCTACAGCTTGGGGTATCTGATTGGTAATAGCATACACACATTAGTTAAAATCATTGATTAACTTGGAATTAGACAGAGACTGTATGTCCACCAAAGTAGAGAGCTGATATACTCGTGGGCGTAACAGGAGCACGGTTGGTTAACCATGGTATATATGTTTTATACGGGTATATCATTTATACATTCCAATAATGGAATGTTATTTTGGTCTTGTTGGACCACGTGGATCTAATAACTATAGCATTACTATGATCATTCCAAATGTAAATTGACCACCAGTGTGTGTGTGTGATATGCACTCAGTATGATGTACACCCGTTTTGATATAAATTCAGTAGTATGTACATCAGATATGAGATACACCCGTGTTGTTATATACTACTGGTATTCAAACATTGTGATATATACCCGTTCTGATATATAGTGTATATATGCACCTCTCCTAATATTCCTCGTTTTGGTATATGCCTCTTCTGGTATACGCTCCTCTTGATGTGCATGCGTTTTGAAATGTATCCCTTGGAATATACACATAGGCGAATCCAGGAATTTTCAAAGGGGACCCTTAGCTCCGCCAATGCAGTACATAACTTCAATGTGGTCTTTGGTCATTTTCAAAGGGGGGTGGGGGGACTCTCCCCTTGGATCCGCCATTGATGCATCCTTTTCATAGAGCCTGATGTGGAGATGAGGATATTCAGTTTCCAACTTGCAATATTGTTAATGCGTGTTCTTGTAGAGCATCTGAGGTTTGTTGTATTTGCTATACTCTGTGCTTGACTGCATGGTCCGGATGAGGGGTCACGCTGTAGGTGAGACATCACAGACAACTTACCCTGACTCTGTCCCATTACCCCCGGCTTGATGCTGTAACGTTAGATGGTCCGCCCTGCATGTCCTTCACTCCCGACACGCAGAGAACAGTTTCATATCACATCCATCAAACACAGGCTCGGGAATCTGAGCCGGCTCCAATTTGTGATCACTCGTGTCTGTTTCTCTCTGCCACAAAGTGGACGTCGGTGACGCCAGACGTGAGGACGACACGGGAAGTCACACGGAGGGTGTGTAGGAGTCGGAGTGGTGTGTGGTGCTGTCGTAAGGACGGTGTAATGAGGGGGTTATCTGCGTTATCCATCGATGTGTGTTGCAGTCGCTGATGGTGACGCACGCACGGTGTTTAAGTGTAGGCATTGTGTGTCCGCCATTATCGTCTGTGTGTTGCAGTCGCTGATGGTCACGTACGGACAGCTTGTAAGTTTAGGCATTGTGTGTCCGCCATTATCTTCTGTGTGTTGCAGTCGCTGATGGTCACGTACGGACAGTGTGTAAGTGTAGGCATTGGGTGTCCGCCATTATCTTCTGTGTGTTGCAGTCGCTGATGGTCACGTACGGACAGTGTGTAAGTGTAGGCATTGGGTGTCCGCCATTATCTTCTGTGTGTTGCAGTCGCTGATGGTCACGTACGGACAGTGTGTAAGTGAAGGCATAATACCAACCATGATCCAGCCATTGTCTTCTGTGTGTTAGCAGTCGTATCTGATGGTAATAGCATCATTAGTTAAAATCATTGATTACGGACAGAGACTGTATGTCCACCAAAGTAGAGAGCTGATATACTCGTGGGTGTAACAGGAGCACGGTTGGTTAACCATGGTATATATGTTTTATACGGGTATATCATTTATACATTCAATAATGGAATGTTATTTTGTCTTGTTGGACCATGGATCTAATAACTATAGCATTACTATGATCATTCCAAATGTTACTTGACCACCAGTGTGTGTGTGTGTGATATGCACTCAGTATGATGTACACCCGCTTTGATATAAATTCAGTAGTATGTACATCAGATATGAGATACACCCGTGTTGATATATACTACTGGTATTCAAACATTGTGATATATACCCGTTCTGATATATAGTGTATATATGCACCTCTCCTAATATTCCTCGTTTTGGTATATGCCTCTTCTGGTATACACTCATCTTGATGTGCATGCGTTTTGAAATGTATCCCTTGGAATATATACGTAGGCGAATCCAGGAATTATCAAAGGGGACCCTTAGCTCCGCCAATGCAGAACATTAACTTCAATGTGGTCTTTGGTCATTTTCAAAGGGGGGTTGGGGGACTCTCCCCTTGGATCCGCCATTGATGCATCCTTTTCATAGAGCCTGATGTGGAGATGAGGATATTCAGTTTCCAACTTGCAATATTGTTAATGCGTGTTCTTGTAGAGCATCTATGGTTTGTTGTATTTGCTATACTCTGTGCTTGACTGCATGTTCCGGATGAGGGGTCTCATACTTACGCTGTAGGTGAGACATCACAGACAACTTACCCTGACTCTGTCCCATTACCCCCGGCTTAATGCTGTAACGTTAGATGGTCCGCCCTGCATGTCCTTCACTCCCGACACGCAGAGAACAGTTTCATATCACATCCATCAAACACAGGCTCGGGAATCTGAGCCGGCTCCAATTTGTGATCACTCGTGTCTGTTTCTCTCTGCCACAAGGTGGACGTCGGTGACGCCAGACGTGAGGACGACACGGGGAGTCACACGGAGGGTGTGTAGGAGTCGGAGTGGTGTGTGGTGCTGTCGTAGGGACGGTGTAATGAGGGGGTTATCTGCGTCATCCATCGATGTGTGTTGCAGTCGCTGATGGTGACGCACGCACGGTGTTTGAGTGTAAGCATTGTGTGTCCGCCATTATCTTCTGTGTGTTGCAGTCACTGATGGTCACGTACGGACAGCGTGTAAGTGTAGGCATTGGGTGTCCGCCATTATCTTCTGTGTGTTGCAGTCGCTGATGGTCACGTACGGACAGCTTGTAAGTGTAGGCATTGGGTGTCCGCCATTATCTTCTGTGTGTTGCAGTCGCTGATGGTCACGTACGGACAGCGTGTAAGTGTAGGCATTGTGTGTCCGCCATTATCTTCTGTGTGTTGCAGTCGCTGATGGTCACGTACGGACAGCGTGTAAGTGTAGGCATTGGGTGTCCGACATTATCTTCTGTGTGTTGCATTCATCGATGGTCACGTACGGACAGTGTGTAAGTGTAGGCATTGGG